TGCCTTAGTCTGGATGCGGCTCTCACCCCCTTTCTTTCATGCCTGCGGTGCAAGCATCCTGGCTCGCTGACACACTTTGCAGAATGGGTTCTTGGGGAAGTGGTGAAACTGGTGTTTCGCGGACTGCGCCTCACGCATCAAGTCTCCAACTTTTCGCGATCGCACCAGACGACTTCCTTCATCATCTGGCACTTCTTCATCCATGCCCTCATCCTCTTTCTTGTCCGATGGGCTCGAGATTGCTCCCGGCAATGCAAACAGCTTCTTCAGGGGTTTATCCTTCTTGAACTTACCCTTTCCAAAGACTTTGCAATCGGAGTCGAGGACTGGGACATGACCATCAACGCGAAGTTGAACGATTTTCTCGTCCGGTCGAACCAAGATCGGCACACCGTTCGCCGGCCACACAAAACTGTACCCTTGGTCGAGGCATTTGATGCCAACGGACAGCACAGCGGGGCATTCATCCAGCAGATACGGTGTGCAAGGTTCCAGTAACTGTTTCATCTGAACATCAGCTACTTCACTGGCTTCGGTCGATCCGTTTGCAGTGATCAAACTGATGGTGTGAGGTGCCCTTCGGGGGTTCTCTGCACCAGCAGCATCCATGACCTTCCTGCTGAGGAGGTCTTGCTCGCTCCCTGAATCAACCAGCCATGAGAACCTGCCCTCTCTTGGTGCCGGACCAGCAACAATGGTTGGAATGGTAGTAGGACATGTTTTCAGTTGATCAAACTTCGGCAAGCACGGCATGTGAGCGATGACTCGGTGCACAGAAAGCGACATGATGGTGCGTTTAAACACTCGAAATTCCGAACGACTTCAGCCAACTGCCTAGCTTTTACTTTGGCCATGTTGGTAGCCTTCGGGTCGCTCTTGGGCACACGATCGCTCGTGGCATAGCGTACACTGTACTTGCGTGAACGTTTGACCATCTTGCAGTGTTCCCCACGAGCGGGGATTGTACGAATCTCAGGCTTCATGACGAACGTAATCCTTCGGACAAGCGACTTGGACCTTTTCCGTGCTGGAGGGAGACAGGGCTTCTTGAGACAGGATCGACCAGGCACACCAGTTGCTAAACATGCGAACCGATTGCTCAGGCAAATGGCAGCGTTCTTTGGGTCCCCTTTTGCCTTCCCTGGCTTTGGAGAGTCCTTCCGTGGCTTGGTCTTTAAAAGCACTTGTCTCCCCTCCTACAAGTACCTTGTTGATCGTACCTGCATGGAGTCCTGGCCATCTCTTCCTTGGTCATACGCTTCTTTTCTTTGTCTGTGCTCTTGTCCCTCGACTCGTTCCGCTCCCGAGATGGTTGACGCTTCTTGGAAGGGTCACGCTTGGGCTTTTCATGCTTGAACTTGCAATCCTTCCCTTTAGCACACTTGCCCTCCAAAAAGGCCCAACAGATTCCCTTTTCCCGAGAGGTCGGCCGCCCACGCGATGGTGAACGCTTTCGCCGAGGATCAACTGTTGGCGCTGCGTTCTTCTCATGTCGGTCGCCTGGCTTGAGCCGATTTCGCTCAGCAATACGCGATCGATACTCTCGAAGGCGCTCCCGATCTATCAGGTCCTTGATGCTTTGCAGTAGGAACTTGTAAGACCGATGGCGGTCACCTTCTTTGGCACGATCAAACAGATCGATGTCATCATACCTCAAGATTGCGCTAGTACGGATCTGCCTCAAAAGGATATCCCGAAGCACGTTTTCGTGCGGTGGTTCGGGCATACCGGCGATGGTAGCGTCCCAGCGGTTGATGAAGCGCTTCAAATCCGCCACGGTGTCGCCTACCTTCACCACGTTGAGGAGATCTTCAACCCTGTAAAGGCTGCCTGCTTCTTCTGAGGTCTTGAAATAGTCATCAAACATGAGAAGAATCATTCTTCCACGAACCTGGATGCCTAGCTTTGCCTTCTCTTCCTTGTAATTGATGATTCGGTTAGCTAGATCACCCTTTGCACTTCTGGTCAATGCGGCCGCCAGCATGGTGTCCAACGTTGTGAACTTACCGGGGTTTGACAACCGCTCTTCCAAAACCTTTCTTTCATCAACGGTATTGTAAACCTCCATCAACCAGTCCCAGGCTGCGTCTGGTTTGTCAGAACATGACGTGATCTCATCCCTCACATGATGTTTCCACTGCCGATAGGTTTCAGGGGTTGGCATATCATTCAGCTTGATATGATCTGCTTCCTTGACCTTTGGCTTCTCATCCGATTCTCTTTGAGTGAGTGACTTGACCAGTTCGATCACCTGCTCGGAGGTGATTGCACCTGATGAAGCTGGCTTGTGGGGCTCACGGATCGAAGGTGCAGGGCTATGAAACACGTGAGTTGGCGTCTTGCCACCGTCCGCTGTAGTGCCTCCGTAGACTGGAAGCACCGGCTTGATTGGAGCGGCTGCCCCGGTTGGGGCATCACCGGTGATGGTGGCCGTTGGCACTTTAGGTCCAAACAACCCGCTCAGAAGTGCACTAGCCTCTGCTGCAATGGTCTCTAAGGTACCTTTCTTCTCACGCTCGCCTTGCCTAGGTGTTACCATTGGCGAAGCAACTACACTAGTTGGAACATACTCTGGCTCGTCAGTGACTTTGTTGTCAGCCCTCAAGTCATCGATGATTTGTTGCAGGCTGTAGTTGTCGTTTTCTGCCTCTCTCAAATCACGCTGAAGTTTGAGCTCTCTTTCATCGAACTCTGCACGAAGTCTCACTACACCCTGTTCAGCACTCTCCGTGATCGCATTCACCGTTTGCTGACATTCGTATGTGAGTTGTGTCCGGAGGGAATCCATCTCTGCCTTCTTCGCTTCAGCTTCCAACGCTCTGTCGTTTTCTAGCTTGAATATACGTGCTTTGGCAGCACTGAGCTCTGCTTGTAACTTGTCATAGCTAGATTGGGCTTGTTGCTTCACTGATCTAACCTCCTCGTGGTGTCTGCCTTCTACCTCAAGAATCGCCTGGTGGAACTTGGCTTTTACCGTGTCCATCCATTGTGCTAACACTTCCTTGTGCCTTCGTTCTGCCTCAGCAATGATGGCATCCTCATTACCATTATACACTTGCTGGATGTTCTGCTGCACAAACTGAAAGTATGCCGTGACCGGGGCTGAACCCATAGGATCATCTAGATCTACACGGGGCTCAGTCGCGAGACCGGCTGGCACAGCGACTGATGATGTGGCATTCCCAGGGATAGCAAGAGTGTCCATGGCTGTGGTTAGAGCACTACGGCTGATAACCTATAGAAACAGCCGTTAAGCTACGATACCCTTTTTGGACCGCGAGCTGCAGAAGTATGCGCAATGACATCCTATACATATGTGCATGGTAAAAGTATACATATTACATGGAGTGAAAATACAAAACGTACCTGCTGTTGTTTTAACTGTTGATTGGTTGCTGTGGTCCCTTGGTTTGTTTCATGGTGGTTCATGTACCGTGTACCTGATGTTGCTCCGGAATTTTAATTCTTCATTCATTCCGAGTCAATTGCTAAGTAGTCATTCAGCGAGTCACTCACTGAAAATTATGCTCCTTCACTGGAGCTATGAATCTAAGTGTCGTGTAGAAAGGTCATCCCTCAGTTCTGCTTACCGGGTGAACTTTATAAGGGATCTGCAGTCCTTGAGTAATCTGTGTCTATAAACAGAATCAAAAGGAAAGATCGTGCAACAAATGCTCATACTGGATATCTGGCTAGGCTTGGGCACAAACAACTTCCCTACTCTAGTTGGCAGCAATTTGCAGAAAAGTGCACAGGTGGGACACGCCAACAGTATTCAGGTACACGGTATACCTCCTATGCTGCTGACATGTTCAGGGGATGATGCGCGGCAAAACAATGCTCTGAACGCAGACAGATACTGTACAAGCGCATCCGCGTTGTCAGTGTTGTTGCGTTGTTGCTTGCATGTGTGAGTGCATGATCGACTCAGGTCAAATATTGTACCAGCTGCAATAGCACTACAAATAGGCAGATCGTGACAAAGCAATTCAGATCACTGCAACTGCCCGACTAGCTGAGACTAGGCAGCAACCAGTTGCAAAAAACATCGCATGTCTTCAAAAACACGTTTCTAGCAGTGCTTTGTGCATTCTGGTCTGCGAGAGTATTGCTGTTTACAGCGCTTTAGACCCCTGAAGGCCCCAAAAGTTGGTAAATGGCAGCATATTGGCATATCAGGTTGCACGACTTACTGAGAAGAGTTGATGCCTACCGGGTCCCCACATGCCCCTTGCCATATTGTGTGTGGCGGGTACTGTGGTTGTTATACCAAAAATACGTTCTGCTCAGTGTGGCATGCAAGCAGTTATTGAATGGAATGTTCTGGGTCGGGCAACATTGGTCAAGCCAAAAATCCTGTGTGTTGCAAGCCATTTTTCTTCATATTATGCCCTTAGAAGAGGTCTCAAGGCGTTTGCTCGCAAGTCGCAATGCTTCCTCTTGCTGCCCTATAGGCTCGCTGACATAAAGGCAGGATTGCTTAGTATTGTTGGATGGCTACGTCCTAGGTGGGAAGGTGTCCACAAGTCGGTTTTTGATATGGTGGGCGGATTGAGAGGTCTCAGCCCATGAAAAGAAAACATGAAATTGCTAGCTCGAACCAGTACTTGCCAAATTGCATGTGCCAGCGAACGTGATGAACGCATGTCTTAAATACGATTGGATGCGACAATGCCAGTCGCGGTGTCCATGCGGCAAGCTGCTGCGAAGTCCCATACAATGTATGTATGACATAGTATATGTTGTTTAATTTATTTCTATATATATATTGGGTGTGTGTGCGTGTGCGTTTGAGCTAAAGTAGAACGGGTTGTCTTAGAGTCGGAGGCAATTTAGAAACACTGCCATCTGGCCATCTGGCACAAAGACTCGTTGTTCTACCCCGGCATTGAGGTTCCACGAAGCATGATAATCTTCTCTATATGTCTAAGGAGGTATTTTGAGATTTGCTCGTACATTCCTCCTCATTCTCTGCTTAGCTAAGAGTCTAGGCTCACTGCTCTGTGAGGAATCTGCGCCCTGCGCAGGACTGCGACAAATGAACACTACAGAGCGACCCGTGGTCATGTGCCTTGCAAGTGGTCTTCTCCAGGGTCCACAACCCTCTGAAGGGTGCCTGTGTAATCACCGGCACCATACCCTTGTGTTTGAACTGCAATGCCGCAACATGAGCAAACAACTGATGCAACTAAGCTTTGCTGAGTGGCTGGAGACATCTGGCTGCCTGTCGCTTCCCTGGTGGCAAAGTGAATCAAAGCATCTTGAACTGCCTCTGCTGATGTTTTCATTCGAGTGACTAGAGTGGGCTATTCTGCTTATTTGGCTTGGGTGCTTTGCTGTGCTGAATGACTGTCAATGGTATGAGCATGCCTTTAACCTGACCTGAGTAGGAAAAGGAACAAGGAAAATCGGATGGAAACTAAACTCTACATCTCAAATCGGAAACATGAAAAATCCTTTAAACTACCTTCTTAGGACTTCATTGCACGGGATTTTACTAAGACTACTAGACTCTAGACGCTTGACGATGAGTGGGTAATCACTGGGTGCCCCAACAACACAAGCAACCACATTGCTGACTGCAGACTTGGAATATGTTTTGATATATAAAAGCTTGTCAAGACTGAATGTTTGTTCATTAAACAACATTGTTTGCGACAGTGCTTGAACCTTGCATGAACAGCTCATGGCTCATGGCTCCATGTCAACCAAATTCACCAACTACAAAAGGTTTTTCAAGTGAATTGGCCTCACCGGTAAAAGAAATTGAAAAATTGGTCCGCAGAAAAAGAATTGCTTCACTCAAACCGCAAACAGTGCAAAACTGTCCATTCTAGTCGAAAGTGGCAAAATGATTAGTCAAAAAGCACTGTAAGTGTTTGCTGCTGTGCCATTGCGCCTGACCCGGCTGGCTTTGAAGGAAAGATAAACTCCAGACTCCTCGCCAAGGAATTGTACCTGTTGTCAATCATATCTTGTCCATGTCTGCACTCCAAAGCTTGCCCCTTTGATGTTTTCATCGAGGTAGGGTTTCTGACAGCTAAGAGCCAACCTCTAGCTTGGCATTCACCCGAAGAGTTGGCTGCAACGCATGTGGAATCAGAACACCAGCCTGCTGCAGGATGCATAAGTAGATGTAGGATGCTCTTCCAGTGTTAAAGTCTTTTCGACCGTCATGAAACAGCACAGAAAATAAAACGATTCCTCATCTGCCGAATCCATGTCCAAGCTTTCCTGAAAGCTCGCAGCTACTGAAGTCAAAATCATACAAGTTGGTGAAGGATGTCTGTCATTGATCCGTGCAAGCCCGCAAATCCCCCCGATGCACTTCAGGCTGAGCTAGCGTCATTTACAATTTGGCCAACGGCAAGCATCCTCATCACACACTGGAGAATGAGTATTGTCAAACTGACTCATTAGAAGTGCAAAACACGTTTGGAATACTAAGCCCCGCGCGTGTTTGTAGACAATGGCACTCCTTACCGACATCTCGGCGCAAACACAAAAAAAAACGTATTATCAACCACCAAACCTTAACTGAACTATATAATTGTGCTGACAACAAGGCCTAAAACAGAATCGCTCAAAAGTTAAGTTTCCCAAAAGAACAAACTAAGGAACCAAGTCAGTCTGCGAGGGGTTCTTCAAAGAAGCCTGACGTCTTCTGTATGCCCAGTAGCGGCCCCCTCAACCCCTATATTTGCTCCTTACAGTGCGCGAGTTGAAACCTGTGTGCTGGTGCTGCTGCAGGGTGCCCCAAATGTATGCGCCCTGTGCGTTTTGGAGCTTGAGTGCTGGTTGCTGCAGTTCGAGCTTTGGAGCCTAGGCGTCGGTGTCGTTTCAGGCCACTGCAGGGTGCCGCTGCCAGATGTTTATGGCCGTGCGCGGTTTGGAGTGTGGCTTGGTGCATGCTGACTAAAATTGTTTTTCCCCAAACAGTTTACTGTTGGGGCTCTATATTAGAAAAGAAAGAGTTGGGCACACTGACTGGCCGCGCCCCTGAACTTTGTGGCCGGGCCCTGTCTCCTGTTGTCCTCCTCTTGTCCTTCTCTTGCGCTTCTCTTGTCCTCCTGTTGTCCTTCTTTTGTCGCCCCCTCTTGTCCTCCTCTTGTCCTCCTCTTTTCCTTCTCTTGTCCTCCTAGGGGGCCCCAGATCCAAGAAGGGGCCCATCTGTCTCTAGGAGATTGCCAGCCCCAGATCCAAGAAGGTGCCCAGATGTGACCTCTTTTCCTTCTCTTGTCCTCCTCTTGTCCTCCTGTTGTCCTCCTCTTGTTCTTGTTTTTGTTCTTGTTGTTGTTGTTGTCGTTGTCGTTGTCGTTGTTGTCGTTGTTGTCGTCGTCGTTGTTGGTTGTGGTTGTGGTTGTGGTTGTGGTTGTGGTTGTGGTTGT